AATCATTTTCATTGTACTTTAACTGAAACTTCAGTATTCATTGTTAAGAAGGTATTACTCTTAGCAAGAGCTATTTGTCCCACCAGACTACTAATGATATTTCAAGTAATGATAATGACAATAATAATAGAAAAAGCATCTTAAAGAGAAAAATTATCTCATACTATGAAATCTTTTCATCTTTTCAACTGTCTCCACTCTCCTATCTTTCCTGAAACAAAATATTCAACCCTCAGGCATCCTCATATTTGGTGATGATAGCTAATTCATTAGGTCAGCCTAAATGCAATGGGAGGCAACTCTTCCACAGCTCATTAACTCTCCCCAGTTGCCCCTAGAATCCAAAACAATGAGAAAACTACTTGGAAAATATAAGATGAACCAGAAAAGCCATTCTTAGGTAGCTATCAGCAATCCATGTGAATTTGGCAACCAAGAGGACAAAAGGCTTGGAGGAGAAAAAGGTCTGAGTGTTGATTATGCAAACATAGCACTAACTTGTTAAAGCCAACTTCTAACTGAAATGGGAAATGCTGACAAAGAAAATGTATATTGGAAACCATGGTTATGGGGCAAAATACATGAGTGGGTTTATAAATGTTAGTATTTCTATAACCAGATGAAGAATATTATTATTTAAACCTAGAACCAGTATCTGTTCAAAATGAAAGTGAGTTTTCGACAAGTTTGCAGTTTCCTCTAAGTTTTTTTGTTTTAGAAGCCTAGACATTAGAGATGGAACTAATTCGTTCATGGGAAAAAAAAAGTGCTTTCACTGCTTGCTGTAACTAACTTGTGTTTTCTTCCAAACTGTAACTGTGAGAACCAAGTATAGAAAACATGACACAAGATGAAAGCTTTTAGTTTTTATTTTTTTAAGTGATGAGGAAGTTTTTAAAAAACACACAGATGTTGAGTTTACATAATCAACCAAAACATTTTTCTACCATATAATTTTCTTGTCAAGCATGTAATATGTTTTTTTCCTAGAAAATCAATGTCAGAAGTATATAATGATGATTGTTTTTCAACAGATAATTATAATTGGACTAGAGGCCCGGTACACAAAAATTTGTGCACTGGGGTGGGGGGGAGTCCCTCAGCCTGGCCTGTGCCCTCTCGCAGTCTGGGACCCCTCGGGGGATGACCACCTGCTGGCTTAGGCCCACTCCCCCAGGGATTGGGCCTAAGCTGGCAATCAGAATACCCTCTGGCAGCCCAGGAGCCCTCGAGGGATGTCCACTTGCCAGCAAGGAGCAGGCCTAAGCTGCAGTCGGACATCCTTAGCGCTGCTGAGGAGATGGGAGAGGCTCCCACCACTACCGCCTGGCTTGTGGCTGAGCAGAGCTCCCGCTGTAGGAGCGCACTGAAGATCAGGAGGCAGCTCCTGCATTGAGCATCTGCCCCCTGGTGGTCAGTGTGTGTCATAGTGACCAGTCACTCCCAGTCGTTCTGCTGTTAGGGTCAGTTTGCATATTACCCTTTTATTATATAGGATAGAGGCCTGGTGCATGGGTGGGGGCCAGCTGGTTTGCCCTGAAGGGTGTCCCAGATCAGGGTGGGTGTCCCATTGGGGTGCCTGGCCAGCCTGGGCGAGGGGCTGATGGGTGTTTGCAGGCTGGCCACACCCCCTTCAGGGAGGGGAGTATTGCTGGGGTGCCTGGCCATCTTGGGTGAGGGGCTGATGGCTGTTTGTGGCTGGCCACAGTCCCTTCAGGGTGGGGTCCCCACTGGGGTGCCTGGCCAGCCTGGGTGAGGGGCTGATGGCTGTTTGCAGG